CCTCCCGCTATTCTCTCCCCCCCTCTCTCTCTCTCTCTCTTCTCCCCTAGTAGTTATCAAAATACCTCCATCTACGTCATTTCTTGGTATTATTCCTCTCCTTCAATATAGATAAATAGTGCGCCTTATTTTAGGTCTTCATGCGTTCAGGTATCCGATGGATTCTTCAGGTAACTACAAAAGTGACTATTACACCTGGACAGACGAAACACCTGTCCGAACATAAAAACACACACTATAACTTATTATTTTCCATATCATATCTGAGGGTTGGCGACTACAGCCCATTCATTCGTATGTAGAGGCATTGTGTAAGGTCAGTGGCTGTATTACACTTAATCTCTCTATATACCTGGGCGGTTCAGACACCACTAAGTCCTTCTCTCCATTAGCGCCTTCCTCCCAACACCAAAAATTCCCTCAAAACATAAAAAAAAACCTTAATTACGTAGTTGAGGTGACATATGTACAGGTGACATATGTACAGGTGATATATGTACAGGTGATATATGTACAGGTGACATATGTACAGGTGATATATATATTTTAGGTGAGTTAAATTATAATGTTATATGGAACTCCTGTCAGGTGTGCCCGTGTGAGAGTCTCAAGTATACTGAAGTAGTTGTGAGTTAGCTCGTCTCCGACCCTTCAGAAGTTCTCCTCTACATCGTTCTTCTCTCTACGATAGTCTGACGCTGGATAATACCTGAAAATACGTGAATTATAGATATTGTAACTTATTCATACTGTAACTTACTGTATTTATTCTGTAACATCTTATACTGTAACTTATCTATGCTGACATACCTATAGTGTAATATCATATACTGTAACACACTGTAACATGTATAGAAATACAGAAATATACAGACATATACCTCATTACCTTTTCCAAGAGTTACAGCCAACGACGATACAGAAATACCTGTAATTACGTCATGTTCAGGTATCCACTTCAATATATAAACATACATACAATAATTTCACTTGATATATCGACATGTGTTTGAAACTGTGTCTAGATAAAATAGGTTTGAAATATAATCTTTTCTAGAGTGGATGGACAACGCTCACTCTAGGCTACATACTACATCTAAATACTGTTACAAGCTGAAATATTTGGTGTTCTAACATATTCTTGGGCAGACAAGCACACAGGTCCTTAAAAAAAAAACATTGCCCGGTTTAAATAAATGTTTAATGATTGTAAAATTCTCCTTCATAGATAAACATTGATCGTGTCTTGATATAATTTATTTAATATTTATTTAAACATTCACACTACATAAATACATCGAACTACATAAATTCTAATGATTTTAAATTTTAATTAATACATAAACATAGACTATTGTACATCTCGGTAGATATATAAACGATTGAAACTATGTAAGAACTAATTCACCCGAGTCAGGAGTAATATTTCACCCTGATCCAACACCTCTCGCCTTCCCTCCCTCTCCAACTTAAAACACTAACACCAAAAAATTACACCCCCCCCCATCCCCACCCCGTCTCTCTGAATATATAAATCACTAGTATGGAAATATCATCTTGAATATATGAACACGTAACAATATATATGTTCTTATACCTACATACTAGACCATATTAGTTTTAGTGTATGGTGAAGCGGGGTTGTGGTTTTTTTCCACTGGACTGAGTATCTCTTTGTCTCTAACTTCCTCCTCTTCTCATTCAATCACAAACACCAAAGAAAACTTAAATCCCATTATTATCATATAGTGAAATATACTTAAATATATCGTATATACATTTAGAAACGACGATCGTACAATAAAAAAACTAACACACAGGAATAAAAAAAAATCAAGGGGATATTTTAAGATGCAAAACAAATGGCCACAAATACATAATTTCCTGTACTGTAACATCACCTTCAATACTGTAATTAGCTTTTAGTTATTAAGGATTATATATTTGTGTAAGATATGTTGTCGCAGTTTGTCCCTGTATTTTTTTTGCAGTGAGGTAAGTCTGCGGACTGTAGTGGGTGGAGAGGGTGTGGGTGTGAGCATAGTGGGTGGAGAGGGTGTGGGGGGTGAGTATAGTGGGTGGAGAGGGTGTGGGTGTGAGTATAGTGGGTGGAGAGGGTGTAGTGGTGAGTATAGTGGGTGGAGAGGGTGTGGGGGGTGAGTATAGTGGGTGGGAGAGGGTGGGGGTGGGTGGAGAGGGTGGGGTGAGATAGTGGGTGGAGAGGGTGTGGGTGTGAGCATAGTGGGTGGAGAGGGTGTGGGGGGTGAGTATAGTGGGTGGAGAGGGTGTGGGTGTGAGTATAGTGGGTGGAGAGGGTGTAGTGGTGAGTGGGTGAGGAATGGTGGAGTATAGTGGTGGAGAGGTGGGGTGTGGAGTATAGTGGGTGGAGGGTGGGGTGAGTAGTGTGGGACAGGGTGTGGGTGGCAGTGGGTGGGAGGGGTGTGTGGGTGGGAGTATAGGTGGTGAGGGGAGTATGGGGGGTGGAGAGGGGTGTGGGGTGAGTAGTGGGTGGAGAGGGTGTGGGGGTGAGATGGGTGGACAGGGTGGGGTGAGTATAGGTGGGAGAGGGTGGGTGTGAGTATAGTGGGCGGAGAGGGTGTAGTGGTGTGTATAGTGGGTGGGAGAGGGTGTAGTGGTGGGAGTATGTAAATAAGTGGAGAGGTGTAGTGGTGAGAGGGGGAGAGGGTGGGCAGCATAGGTGGCGGAGAGGTGTGGGGGTGAGTATGGGGTGGGGTGGGAGAGGGTGTGGGGGTGAGTAGTGGGCGTGGAGAGGGTGTGTGGGAGTATAGTGGGTGGAGAGGGGTGTAATGGTGAGTATAGTGGGGAGAGAGGGTGGTGGTAAAACAGGTGGGTGGGAGAGGGTGGGGGGGAGTATAAAGGGGTGGAGAGGGTGGGGTGAGTATAGTGGGTGAAGGGTGGGGGTGGGAGTATAGTGGGTGGAGAGGGTGTGGGGTGAGTATAGGGTGAAGAGGGGGAGTAGTAGGGGTGAGAGGGGTGGGGGGTGAGTATAGGGGAGAGGGGTGTGGGGGTGAGTATAGTGGGCGGGAGAGGGTGTAATGGTGAGTATAGTGGCTGGACAGGGTGTGTGGGGGGTGAGAGCAGTGGTGACAGGGTGTAGTGGTGAGTATAGGGGCGGGACAGGGTGTGAGGGTGAGTATAGTGGGGTGGGGACAGGGTGTAGTGGTGAGTATAGGGGGCGGACAGGGTGTGAGGGTGAGTATAGTGGGTGGACAGAGTGCAGTGGTGAGTATAGTGGGTGGACAGGGTGTGGGGGTGAGTATAGTGGGCGGACAGGGTGTGTGTTGGGTGATGTGGGCGGAAGACAGTTGTGTGTTGGGTGGTGTGGGCGGCAGACAGGTGTGTGTTTGGTGGTGTGGGCGG